GTTTGGATTCTTCCGAACAAGGTTCTAACGCAGCATCGTTTGTGGCTATGTGGATAACTACCTATGAAGTTTGGAATTTGATCCGTATGAGTTGCTTTGCGGTAGACCGTTGTCTCCCATTTTCCTGATGGCGTTCTGATGATCATGATATCCAAAATGGTAGTTGTTTATCCTTCTCCGTCTCCATTGTGAACTTGATGCCATTGAATGTGTTATTTATGATGTTGTGTTCTTTCCAGTTCCAAATTCTGTTTCATCAAAGTATCGGAGCCAAAGTTTTGGCATGATCCTTGGTAGTACCTCCTTCTCCAGCTTTTGCATTACGGCTTCGGCTATGAATCCAATAAATGGTGATCCCATTGGTGTTCCTTTCAGTTGTTCGTACATTTCACCCTCGAATTTGAAGTATGTCTTCATGTATTGTTCCACAAGTTCATAAACTGCAGCTGGTTCCATTGATTGGTTTGGGGGGTGTTCAGTTATCAATTCCTACAACGTGGATCTTTCCAAGTCCAAGTCGATGGAAGTGAACAAGGCGGTGACGTCGAACGAGACCATTATTTCGTCTTCTTAAATGTTGACAGTTTTCAGCTTGTCTAGGAATGGCCTTGATTTCATGACGCTATACTCGTGTCCAGCGATGAGCGGCTTCAGTCGTTTCGATAACTCCTTTGCTAATTTGTATGTGGCTGTTTCTGGAAGAGAGACGATCAGTCTCAAGGGANAGTTGTTCGTAGATTTCACCCTCGAATTTGAAGTATGTCTGCACGCATAGTTCCACGAGTTCGAAAATGGTAGCTGGTTCCATTGGTTGGTTTGGTGGGTACTCAGTCATCAATTCCCACAACGTGACTCTTGTCAGGTCCGAATCGATCGAGGTGAACAAAGCGGTGATGTTGAGAGAGACCGTTATTTCGTCTGCTGGAATGTTGACAGTTTTGAGCTGGTCCAGGAATTGCCTTGAGTTCATGACGCTATACTCGTGTCCAGCGACGAGCGGCTTCAGTCATTTCCATATCTCCTTTGCTAACTTGTATGTAGCTGTTCTTGGAAGAGAGACGATCGATCTCAAGGGAATCCCATCCTAGTATACCTTCGACAGTCCATAGAATTGTGGGATAACCGAGTTTTTTGCTCTCGTCCTCCAGTGCTCCTCTTTACTCACAATTTCCTGATGGGAGTCAGTCCGAAGAATTAACGTGGGATTGAAATAATCAGCTGACATGTAATGTGAACGAACGCGAGCCGATTACTTCTGACGGGACTGTCAGCATACATTGCATAGTTTGTGATTGAGCGGTCGCGCCTTTCGCCTCGCGTGCTAAGCGCGAGCACGTGATTGTCTCACAATACGATCATTCAAATCCACCAATTGCGATCGTCTGATAGCGGACACCAAACCCACGCACCGTCATGTCAAATCGTGTGCACGGGATTGACCACTGTATGTGTGTCTGCGGTATCTGATTTCACGCGACCGTAATTGGTGAATTTTGATTTGTTTGAAGTGCGGTAAAATGTTGTATGCGCGGCGTGCATGGCATGGTTGTGTTATGGAACGTGATGTGTAACTACAAATCAACAAAGCAAGCCCAACTATGTGTCCAGACGACGTTTCGTAGGTGAACACATTTTCCGTGATCTCAACTGACAAACTGTAATGTAAGAAAATAACACGATGATATCACGTAGTCGATTTCGATTCACCAAATTCGGGGAGCGACGGAAAGATTAGTTAGTGATCAGGCTTTTCAAAAGAGTTGTGCCTTTAGACAAGCGACGTAAAACTATAGAAATTTTTACACTGCCCGTTCCTATGGTTTTTCAGCCCACCAATAACCGAAACCGTCTAGACATCTTAGAAGTGTTGTGTTCTCGTAATGGACATTTCTCTTCTCTTTCTTTATCTGTTAAGCTTGCCGTGGCATGTGCGATGGTCAATTCAGATCAGGTACTCTTTTGGCCCAATTTTTCTTCCGATAAATACGGAAATTGACCCAGTAGTTTCTTCTTGTTCTATTCCCTTCTACAGATGTTCTTTCGGTACGACACGACAAACTATACAGACGAGGAATGGGAAAGTGGATTCGATTTCTCCACACCGCAATGGTGGAATTTCCCATACAACAAATTTGACAGTTTGGAACATTTGAGACCGAATGAATCCTATTTGGAAAATCAGCGACAGGCCATCAGTGCTTTTCTTGCAAGTTGCTCGCATTCCGATTTCACACATTCCCGTAGTGCTCAATAATCAATTTTCCTGGTTTTCATTCAGTTATCTTTAAGTGTTGGATAGATCTGACATGGGGCATATTGAGACGCCTTTAAAACTGATCTGATTTTTGGCTGTATGTGTAGGGTCAAGTGTGTATGCTTCATCAGTGTGGTCGGTATTCGTGTGTTTCACTCTATAAGAGGCTTAGTCGCTACGGGATGAGAGTAGATACAGACTGTCGGTTTTCGAACATTAGTGTATATTAATGTTGTTTGGCAGATTTGAAGTTTGTATGTCGATTGTGAAAAGTTCAGTAGCACCGGTGGGATTCGAACCCACGCATGGACAAGATCGCAAAGATAGATTGTGCTATATCGTGTAAATGGAAAATGAAAAAAAAACGGTCTGAGTAGCTGCTCGGTGGCGTGGTGGGTACCATGTTTGCCCTTGGCCCAGGAAGTCCCGGGTTCGACCCCTAGTTGGGTCGATGGATTCGCGCACTGTTGATGAGACCCAACCGGGTCGAAACAGCTATCCACTGCTTCGTAGCTTTTCAGTTCACGCTTCATTCGCTGTATGCACGACGAATTTCCGCGAGAAGCAAATCCGCGAGGAGCAGGCCGGGTTTCGTGCACACCGTGGATGCATAGATCTTCACCCTCCGTCAGCTACTAGAACACCGCCACACATACAGACGACAAACCATTGTCGTGTTTTTAGACATCAGAGCGGCTTTCGACTCTATCGATTGCCCCGCACTATGGAACTGTTTGTGGAGATACGGAGTACCCGAGAAGTATGTCTCACTCCTAAAAGCGCTGTATCACCAGACCTCGGGGAAGGTTAGGGCCTATGGTGAATTTTCACCCTCATTCCCTGTCACCGGTGGGGTACGACAGGGTTGCCCTATCTCTCCGTTTCTCTTCAACTTTGCCA